CCCCTTCCCCCTCAGCCCCCCTCTCCCCTCAGTGTTGCCCCTCCCTCTGGTTCTCTGTCCCTCCTCTTAGATCTGCACCATTTCTTGCTGCAGGAGCAGGGAGCTGGGACACAGACAGGCAGAAATTCCTTTTTAGTGTTGTTACAAAGACAACCTGAAAATCAATGAACTACATCGAAGTAGTTGGGAGAAACAGTAAATGTGAGGGCTTGGCCAGGTTTGCCTTGGGCAAACCGGCCTTCCTAGGTGGCCTCCAGGCCCCTGGCCTCACCCGTCCCCTGGGCCCACGCTCCTCTCTGGACAGTGCCCAGCAGCCCCCTGCGTGTGTAGCCTGGCAGTGCGGGCCCCTGAGCCTCTGCTTCCTCACCCACAGTGAACCTGAGAAGGAGACCATCGCCTTTCTCCCCGCCCTCTCTGGTCCCATCTTGTGCACAAATGGGCTGGCAAACCTTCCAGAAGCATCCTGAGGCCTCCCATCCCCTGCCCCTGTGTTGCTTGGTTTGACCTTGAGGCCTCCCCCTCTCAGTTGGATCTCCCTCCAGTTATCTCCTGTTTCTCCCTACCTGAGGACTTTCCCAACCTGAGAGTCTAGGACCCAGAGGCTGGAAGTGACCCCATCACTTACCCCATGATGTGCTGGACATACGAGGGGTAGCGGAATTCCGTCTTGTTGGCGCCTTTCTTCTCCACATCCGCTCCTGTGGGCAGAGCACCCGCACAGAATCAATCAGTGGAGGGTATGAGGGCTGGCCCACCTGCCCCAAGGCGAGGACTCATGCCGCTCTCCAGAAGGGATTTAAACAAAGAGGCCAGGGAAAAACAGTGGACGCGCTCTGTTTTCCTAGGGAAGCCCCACTGGGGTTGGGAGACAGCAAGTGCTGCTGTTGGTGTGGGGCTGGGTGGGGGTGTACCCATGTTACCCCCTGGTCCATTGGTGCCCCAACAGGCCCAGCAGAGCCTTTGAACTCCAGGAGGGGAGCCAGGGGCAGGGCTGGGAGGGCGACCTTCCTCTCTGTAGTTTTGTACCTTCTGCACTTTACCTTCCAGCACGGGCCACCTGTTCCACAGAAAAATCTCCCGCAGACATTAAGGAGGGCACGTGCTGGAATGAGCCCGGGGTGTTACAGAAGACTGATGAATCACTGACCTCTACCTCTGAAACTAAGACTACACCAGATGTTAATTAATTGAATTTAAATTTTAAAAAGAGTTTCCCTCACAGAAAAGTTAGGCTGCATTCCCTACCACCCCCCGCCCCCCGCTGGAGCTTATATCCGAGCATCCTACCAACTCTCTTTGTGTCACTTGACGTTCTTAAGGCAAATGGAAAAACTGAGGCCCAGGGAGGCCAAGGACCCGGCAGGACCAGCTCCCAGAAGGCCTGGGCAGGGACATGGTGAAAGCTGCATGCTGTGTCCCCACTTCCCCCCGGGCACCTGCCAGGCCCACTCCTGGCTGGTGAGAAGGGAGAGTGCCCAGTGCCAGGCTCTTGGCCCCTCCCAGCCTGCGGAGACTGGGGCCCCCTCACCTCACCTTTGTTGTGTCTCACCTGCTCTTCGGGCCTCCAAGAGGAAGGCATTGCCATAGTCCCAAAAGAAGAAGTTCTCCTTGGCTAGTCTGTTGATGGCGGAGACTTGCCTTCTCAGGCTGCAAGAGGCCGGTGGTTCATGGTCAGCCCTGCCCACCCGTAAGGTTCTGAGAGCAGGCCCTCTGTGCCTCACCCCTGTCACCTTTCAAATGCACCCCATGGAGCTCAGCCAGCTCTGTTTCCATCCCATCTGACGGAGGAGGATACAGGTTCAGAGAGATTAAAGCTCTCGCCTAAGGCCACACAGTTGGCCCCTGGAGAACCAGGCAGAGGCCAGAGCCACCCAGTCCAAAAGCTCCTGCCAGCTGTGTGCAGCCCCGCCCCCACACACCTGGAGTAGCCCTGGGACATCATCACCTTTCCTGGACCAGGCCCTTGAATGCAGCAGGGTCGGAGGCCATGAGGCTCTGGGCCTCTGCGAAGCCCAGCTGCACAGGGTAGTAACCACCATTGAATGGGTTGTGACAGGACGTCTGGTCTGACCCCAGGTCCACCAAGAGCTCCCCTGTTGTGTCCAATTCGTGGACCAGACGCTCCCTGGGAAAGACATGGGGTGATCAATGCCGGGCGGCACCTGCCCAGGTCAAGGGTAGGCACCCTCTGGGGCCTGAGTTCAGGGCCCAGCTGGGAGGGGATTGCCCTCCCCTCTCAAAAGAACATCTGTAGGAAGGCTGCTGTGAAGTCGGGCCAGGATCTGGGCCTTGAAAACTGGGATCGGAGCCTTAAGCTGAGTACATTGGAAGCTTTGTGTCCGGGGAGCACAAGGCCACCATCAGTACCTTGTCTGGAGGGGGAGGTTCACCCAGGGTCCCCAAGGCTGCCAACTCCCATCCCCCACTTACCAAAGATCCACCACATTGCCATGGTAACCAAGGCTGAGCACCTCCTTCCTTTTCCTTGCTTCCCTAGAAGGGCACAAGAGCAGAGCAGATGGCCCATTGCACCTGCCTGCAGCTGCCCACCCCTACCAACACCAAGCTGGCAAGAATCCAGAAGACCCTGGAGGTCACCACAAGCACTGTGTGCCAGCATCAGGGCCCAAGGTACAGGGACCTCTGCGGCGTGGCTTTTGAGGACCCAGACCTGTAACAGCAGACTTGAATGCCCCAGATGAGAGAAATGAAATGACAACAGTGACAAGCCTTCTTGAGGGGATTCACAGAATCAGGGCTGTTGCTGTTAGCGCACTGATTGGGATTGTTCTAGAACTCATGCAAGGTGATCCTAAAATTGTAGACATCACTAAAGGTGATTCCAGAAGGCGCCTGGGTGATTCAGTCGGTTAAGCATCTGACTTGATTTTGGCTCAGGCCATGATCTCAGGAACGTGAGATCTCGAGCCCCATATAGGGGCCCCGCCTCAGGCTCTGTGCTCAGTGGGGAGTCGGCTTGAGATCCCTTCCCTCTGCCCCTCCCCCTGCTTGCATGTGCTCATGCTCTCTCTCTTTCTCTCTAAAATAAATAAACCTTAAAAAAAAAGATGAGCGGCGCCTGGGTGGCTCAGTCGATTGAGTGTCTGACTTGGGCTCGGGTCATGATCTCAGGGCCCTGGGACTGAGTCCCACCTTGGGCTCCGTGCTCAACGGGGAGTCTGCTTCTCCCTCTCCCTCTTCCCCTCCCCATCTCTCATGCTCTCTCTCTCTGTCTCAAATAAATAAATAAAATCTTAAAAAAAGATGACTCCAAACATTATTGGGAGAAATAAAAGGACAAAAAAAAAAAAAAGACAGCATATTTAATACAGATAGAAATACAGAAGATGTAATACATAAAGCCCCACAGGTAGGAGAGGGGTCAGAAAGCACGAATACGTCGGGAGTTTGGGCACCACTCAGAGATGCGGTTTGACTGAACACCACGCTTGGCAGAGATGCCAGTGGAGCCTACGCGCCCCTTTCCCGAGCGCAAGGAAAACGAAGCAGGAAAAGGCATATAGTCCTAGAGCAGTGAGGAGCGTGGAAGCAGTGACCAGCAGAGAAGGAAGATGGGATCCCAGCTGCAGACCAGCACGGGGACTGGGCCTCCACTCCCAGAGGCTCCCTCCACTCCCATCTGTGCCTTCCGTAGCTCAGGGAGAAGTATAACCCGACGGGCTGCTTGAGGCACTCTGTTAAAAAGATTTGACCTGGTTCTGTGGTGTGTGTGTGTGTGTGTGTGTGTGTGTGTGTGTGTGTGTACAAGTGCATGCACATGTGTGCAAGTGTGTGAGTGTGTTCAGGATGCTCAACAGCATTAACAGGTTTAGGAGCCAGACCCATCAATGTCCCACTAGAAGTCTGGAATTTCTCCTATATTCCTATATTTAATGGAAACTCACCCGAGAGTTTTACACAGGCGTGCAATGGGGTCAAACTAGTATTTTTAAAAGATCAGTGTCAAATAGTATCCAATCCTGGTAATGGGAGTATTTCTCAATTCAGTATATGCTTGAACATTTTCCTATAAGCCCCTTTTGAAGAGCCCTGGGCAAATCTAATTATAGCAGAGCTGGAGAACCACTGTGCAGTGTGTCTTCCCCAAACAGAGCTCAGTTCTGCAAAGTAAGAGGAAGCTTCAAAAAACCGGCATCAGTAGGTGAAGCGTCCAACTCTTGATTTTGGCTCAGGTTATGATCTCAGGATCGTGAGATCAAGCCCTATGTAGGGCTCTGCGCACAGCAGGGAGTCTGCTTGGGATTCTCTCTCCCTGTGCCCTTCCCCTGCCCTCTTGTGTTCTCTCTAAAACAAACAAACAAAATGGCATGGGATCAGCAGCCCCCAGGGCAGTCCTCCCCCCATTCCCGCTAAAATACCTCAGAAAACATCAAACCAGAGGGAAATGTTGCCAACCCCTTGTCCCCCACCCTGAGAACCAGAGCATGAGTGGGGAGGAAGATCAGCTTACCCCTAAACTGGAGTCACACTGAGGAACAGTTCCATCTTTCAAAGGCTCATTTCCCCCCAACAGATTTGATGAGCACCTACTATGTGCTAGGCTCTGGGCTGGGCACTGAGGCCACAACAGTGAGAAATACAAGGCGTAGTCTTTGCAAAACGGTGGCTCAATATCAAGAAAATCATTTAGCAGCAAGTGTCTGACCACCAGGTATGGGAACTCCAGAGTTACCTGCACCCTAGCCCTAGGGACTAGTGAGAAATTCTAATGGAATTAGAAGGGGCGCCTGGCTGGCTCGGTCAGTAGAGCATGCAACTCTTGATCTCGGGGTTGTGATTCAAACCCCATGGTGGGTCCTGTGATGTTGGTACAGTACGACCTCTGTGGGGTCACTTGGGGGGAGGCGCCACCTGTGGTCAAGTGTCAGGCATTTAACAGGCCCATGTAAAGCAGCCCAGCCTCCAGGCCCCTTCTTGGGGTCTAACCACTTCCCCATGCTCACGTGTCAGGCACTGTACCTGAGTCTTTCAATGCAGTGGTCCAAGCTGTCGGTCACTTCCATCAGCCATCCTTGCTCGTGGCGTTTCATGAGGGCGGCTTTATCCACCTGGGACCATGAGACACAGGGTCTCCCAGTTACTGGGCATGCCAGCCTCCACTAGGAAGATGCCGTCCCCCATGTAAGTCACCCACTTGTATAACGCAGTATCAGGGCAGAGGCTGTGAGCTGCTTTCCAATACTTATTCTCCCTCCTGCCTTCCTTATCAACAGAACCCGGATTTTCACGGGGACACTGTGCTCAGCCCCAGTCCAGGCGAACCACAACTACTCTGTCCACTGTCTCCAGCCTCCCTTTTAGGTAAGTACTTCCATTTGATCCAATACTGACCAATGAGGTAAAAGAAGGGGTTTCTTAAGTATTATTTTCTCAGTCATAGACGGCACTTCCCTTCTCCTTCCTGCCTTAAATGGAGATGGGATAGGCTGGGGCTGGAGCAGCCGTTTTGTATCCATGAAGGAAACCCAAGACAATCTAGAGATGTTGGCCTTGACATCACTGAGCTGCTGGACCAATGCCAGCACTGCTGGCTGTGTGAGAAAAATAAAACCCTATTTGTGGAAGCTGCTATAGTTTGATTTTCTGTTACCTGAAGCCAAGTGGGTTCCTAAGAAGTACAAGAATGTATGACACAGACTTAGTATCAACTAAGTGTGAATCACAGAAGGGCGTATCACCAAGGCTTCTCTCTCTTTCTCTCTCTTTAGAATTACTTATTTACTATTTGGGAATTTTATTACACATATTTACTGAGTGTTCTCTCTGTGGCACTTTTTTTTTTTTAAAGATTTTATTTATTTATTTGAGAGAGAGAATGAGAGACAGAGAGCACGAGAGGGAAGAGGGCAGAGGGAGAAGCAGACCCCCTGCCGAGCAGGGAGCCCGATGCGGGACTCGATCCCTGGACTCCAGGATCATGACCTGAGCCGAAGGCAGTCGCTTAACCAACTGAGCCACCCAGGCGCCCGGCAAACACTTTTTGAAGACACAGGGGAACGTAGATGAGGATGAGCGTTGAGGATGAGGCAAGGGGAAGTCAAGGCTTTTTAAAAACATAGGCTGGGGGCGCCTGGGTGGCTCAGTCGGTTAAGCGGCTGCCTTCAGCTCGGGTCATGATCTCTGAGTCCTGGGATCAAGTCCCGCATCAGGCTCCCTGCTCAGCGGGGAGTCTGCTTCTCCCTGTCCCTCTGCCCCTCCCCTGCTCATGCTCTCTCTCTCAAGTAAATAAATAAAATCTTTAAGAAACAAAAATAAAAACATAGGCTGCTTTCCTGCAGATTCCCGGGGATGAGCTCTGTGAAAGCTAGTATTAGTTGCTATAACTTATTTTCCGTGTAGGGGCCAAGGGCAGGCTCCCCAAAATGTTCCACTCTGGCATATTGATTATTCTAAATACAAGTTGCTTAAGAGACACCTGTGCCAGGACACTCGGGCCGTGCTCTGTCCCCCTGAAAGCTGGAAATACATCTCCCATGAGAAAGTACCCCCGACCCCAACCAAGGTTTGTCTTAAAGCTCCTCGCCTCCTCTCCTGGGGGAAATGGCATTGGATCAGCAGCCCCCAGGGTTGGGGCATTGGATCAGAAAGCCCCCTCTCGGGCGCCTGGGTGGCTCAGTTGGTTAAGCGACTGCCTTCGGCTCAGGTCATGATCCTGGAGTCCCTGGATCGAGTCCCGCATCGGGCTTCCTCCTTGGCAGGGAGTCTGCTTCTTCCTCTGACCCTCCCCCCTCTCATGTGCTCTCTCTCTCTCATTCTCTCTGTCAAATAAAATAAATAAAATCTTAAAAAAAAAAAGCCTCCCTTCTGTCCTTGGCACTCCCCAAGAAAGCCGTGAGAGCCGCTGAGCATGAGCCGCCTGCACACACTTCCACTGATGCCTGACTCTGACCTGTCTGAGTGGGGAAGTCTATGCTCATTTATCCACATTCATTATCCACCGGCCGAATTCCCAGGATTCGGTGGGATAGGGGAAGCAGTACCCACAGAAGGTCAGTTTCGCGGGACAGCATCAGCAGGCATTGACCATGGAAGGTGATGGGCACTTTGAAGGCAGCGGGCATACGCTGCCGTGGGAACTCACACTGGGAGGCTTTGGGGCGGCGGTGGCGAGAGAAGAAAGAGCTGTGAGCGGCTCTGGATGGAGGGAGGAAGCCCGGGGGCAGGGACCGGGCTCCTGCCGGGCTCACCTCTGCTATCACACCGATGCACCCCACGATGACTGCGGCTTTGGCCTGAGCGCCACTCATTCCGCCCAGCCCGGAGGTGACAAAGACCTTACCAGTGAGGTCCTTGACACCCAGGTACCGTCGGCCCGCATTCAACACAGTGAGCTGCCGGGAGAAGACGTAGGCGCTTGCTGTCCCCTCCAGCACATCAGCCTCCCACCCCTGCAGCCAGGCGTGGCCCTGTTTCTCACCACTGTGCCGTGGACGATTCCCTGGGGACCGATGTAGCAGTAGCTGCCTGCGGTCATCTGGCCGTACCTGACCATAGACAAGGCAAGGCCAGGGGTGAGCCCAGAGCCAGGCACGGCTTCCACATTACATGGCTTAAAATTCCTTTTTAATTACCCCCAAATGCATTAATACATTTTCCTTCAAAAAAAAGTAAACAGAGATAAAGCTACAGTCCCCCAATTCTGGTCCCCTCTGATATCCTGGATCTTTTATAACAAATTTTGTTTTATTCAAAATTGTACTATAATTGGTAAAATCACTTTGGGGACTATTGGGCCATATCAGCGGAGGCTGAGCGAGACCCAGCACTTCCACGGTCCAGGCTCACACCCATGTAAAGACACGCACACCACTGTTCACAGCAACTGTATTCACAGCGGCCACCCCATGAAACTGTTGGATCACCTATCACGGAGGACAGAGAAGTGATGGCAGCGTATGAACACAACGAAATGCTACGTGGCAAAGAAAACAACCGAAGTCCTACTGTGTGTCAAGTGGCTCCGTGAAGAAGCCAGATGTGAGAGAGTATGTTCTGTGGGATTCCATCCTATGACCCTCAGTGACCTTCCACTGGGGAGTCTACCTGCTGGAGGGCGGCACGGAGCTGCAGGAGGCAGGGGTGGTGTCTTCAGAGAGGGGCTGGCACGGCACACGCGTGTATCCGAGCTCACTGAGCCGCTGTGCCGTGCCTTGGTGAGGCTGACTGCCGCGAAGGGCCCTGGGAGCACCGTTCGCATGTGGGTCACCGTTGTCATCAGTATCAGTGTTATTTGCGTAAACGGCCCCACTGCGTAGGTAGCGGTACTGTGTCCGCGCAGGGCACATCAGCGGTGCGGTCCTTTCCACCACGGCACACACAGATCCTGCTCTTTTCCTATTCATGGCTCCGCAGCACGCAATATCAGAAGCCACAGAATGTTCCCCTGCCCCCTGCGGTCTCACTATGCAAACTACCAACCCTGAAGTGGCAGAGAGCTGCCTGCTCCCCCTCTCCCGAGGCCCAGCGAAGGAATCAGGAAGGACTAGAGCTGGGTCCTCGGGCGCAAACATTTCAAATATGAATAGATACTCTCAGATGCCAAAGTAACTGTCACCTGCAATGCATGAGCATGCCTGTGTCCATCACTTGATAATTATCAAACACTTGGATTTTCTGGCAATGCAATGGGGGAAGGACTGCATTCTTCTGTTGCCTTAACCTTCCTCTTCCCTGAGGACCACTGAGGTAAGATGCTCCAGGGCTTACTGACGCTTGCTTTTCTCCTTCGTCAATTTCAACTCCCTATCTCTTTTCTACCGGGTTCCTGTCCCCCAGCAACTCTCCCCAGCCCCTCCTCTCTCCTGGATCAACGGTGGATCCTGATTCTTGCAGCTCTGTGCCTGATGCCAGGTATATCCCATAATTTGGATAAGGCACCAGGCCATGTGGAACCTCTGCATCTTCTTCCAAAAAAGGGGGAGGCATTATCCTTACCTTGGAAGGTTGTCTATTTTTTTTTTTTAAGATTTTATTTATTTATTTGAGAGAGAGAATGAGAGACAGAGCATGAGAGGGAAGAGGGTCAGAGGGAGAAGCAGAC